GGCAATTTATTGATTCTGAAATTAAAAAGTTACTTCAGAAAGGTGTGATTCAGCAGTCTTTTCATGAAAAAGGGGAATTTATTTCCCCTATATTCCTCCGTCCAAAGAAGGATGGCTCATGGCGTATGATTTTAAACTTAAAATCCTTAAACCAATATGTTGTTTATCACCACTTTAAGATGGACACAGTATGGACTGCTGTTCAAAKGATGAAACCAAATTGTTATATGGCATCTATAGACCTGAAGGATGCCTATTACTCTGTTGCCATCGCTAAACAATACCAGAAATACCTCAAATTTAAATGGAGAGGTGATTTATATCAATTCACATGTTTCCCTAATGGCCTTGCGCCCTGCCCACGAAAATTTACTAAATTGCTTAAACCTGCATACTCCACATTGAGAAAAATGGGACATTTATCTGTGGGTTATATTGATGACTCATACCTACAGGCKGACTCTTATGACTCATGTGCCCAGAACATTATTGACACAGTTACACTACTCAACAGCTTAGGCTTTGTTATACACCCAGAAAAATCTATTTTAGTCCCAACTCAAAGGCTTGTTTTCTTGGGATTCCTGTTAGACTCCTCCTRCATGAAAATTTCCCTCACACCTGAAAAAGCACTAAACGTTAAGAGTGCATGTCAAAGGCTTCTAGACACTAGCCAGCCAACCATCAGAACAGTAGCTAAGGTTTTGGGTCTCATTACCTCCAGCTTTCCAGGTGTAATGTTTGGGCCGTTACACTATAGGTGGCTAGAGTTAGACAAAATACAAGCCCTSAAAAATAATAGGGGAAACTTTGATGGGCCAATGGCTCTTTCACCTGAAGCTTTAAGAGAACTTGAATAGTGGGTTAAATCAGTTGAGACAGCCTATAATGCAGTCAACCATGAAGCACCCCAGCTCACAATGACCACTGATGCTTCAAAAAAGGGGTGGGGCTGCACACTAGGGGGCACTTCAACAGGTGGCAGCTGGACCTCAGATGAGGCAGAAAGCCATATAAACTATCTAGAAACAAGGGCAGTCTTTTTTGCCTTGAAGTCCTTTGAAAAAACAATAWCAGGGAAAACAATCAAAGTGTTGGCTGACAACACAACAGCAGTTGCTTGCATAAACCAAATGGGAACTTGCCACTCTATAGATATWAACAGATTAGTTATTGAAATCTGGGAGTGGTGCATATCACACAATATCTGGCTAACTGTATCCCATATCCCAGGAAAGGATAACATATCTGCTGATGCAGAATCAAGAAAAACACGAAGGGAAACTGAATGGAGTTTAAACCCCAGAATCACCACCAAGGTTTTTGATAAAATGGGCATTACCCCAGATATTGATTTATTTGCATCCAGAATAAATTCTAAATGCAACAAATATGTTTCCTACCACCCAGATCCAGGGSCATGGGCAGTGAATGCATTTCATATATCATGGGAAAAGCTATGTTTTTATGCCTTCCCCCCTTTCTGCATAATCCAAAAAGTACTAAGCAAAATACACGAGGACAAAGCTACAGGCCTTGTAATTGTACCTCACTGGCCAACTTAACCATGGTTGCCATACTTAGCTAATATGCTTATTGCATCTCCTGTCATCTTACCTAGGGAAAAAGACACTCTTTGGTTACCGGCACAACCACAACTGMTTCATCCATTACACAAGACACTGACTCTTCTGTTATGCCACTTATCGGGACACGACTCACTCATCAGGGACTTTCAGACACAGCTTCCAACATTATCCTTCAAGCCTGGCGAACTGGAACTCAGAAACAATATAAATCATACCTCTCACGATGGGAACAGTACTGTAGTGAACAACAAATTGATCCAATTTCGTCCTCTGTAACAAACGGGATAAACTTCTTGGGCGAACTTTACGAAAAGGGGCTCTCCTACAGTGCCATTAATACTGCACGCTCTGCACTGTCGACAGTCATCTCACCACCCGAGGGCTGTACCTTTGGTGACCATCCATTGGTAACCAAGTTTTTAAAAGGAGTTTACAACATACGACCATCCTTCCAACGATATAAAGAAATTTGGGATGTATCTACAGTACTGAAATACTTAAAAACCTTGTCACCTCCACACTTGCTTAACTTGAAGGATCTGACACTCAAGATAACAATGCTTATTGCACTCCTGTCTGGGCAAAGATGCCAAACTCTACATGCTCTTAATATCTCACAGATGACACTTTCAGGAACAACATGTATATTCCACATACGAGAACTATTGAAAACCTCTAAACCAGGAAAACACTTTGGTCGCCTGGAACTCAAAGCTTTTGATGAGGACAACCAACTGTGTGTTATAACTTTCTTACGAGAGTATGTTGAGCGCACTAAGTTGCTAAGGGGCGCTYACGACCAATTGTTAATTAGTTATTGTAAACCATTTAAGCCTGTTTCCTCTGAGACCATCAGTCGCTGGCTAAGAGAGGTGTTAAAGAACTCTGGCATTGACACTTCTAAATTTAGTGGACACAGCACAAGGTCAGCCTCAACATCAGCAGCAACAGCAGCCAATGTCTCAATACACACCATCATGGAGGCTGCCGGTTGGTCAAATGCTGAAACTTTTAGGAAGTTTTACTGTAAGCCAGTTACAAGTCGTAAATCAGACAACTTTGGTGATAATCTTTTAAAATCAGTTAACGTTCATTAAACCAATTTCGTTTATGTTCGTAATAGCAAACGTGTGGTTCGTATGCATAACAATATGCTCATAGCCATTTGCTTTAAAATCTCACGTGACTTCGTAGCGACTTAGACCAATGACGAAGTAGAATTAGAAAATTAAACGAGACTTACCTGTAAGGTRAAGTTTGATTGAAATTCTACGAGTTATTGGTCAGGAGCGGAGAAGTCACGTGCCCAACCCTTCTTTGACAATAATAATTTCCAGCTTCTACCCTACCCTAATACGAGTAGAAATGTCTATTCGCATTTTTTTTAAACTGACTGCTTGCTTGCCGCGTGCTATCTCACGTGACTTCTCCGCWCCTGACCAATAACTCGTAGAATTTCAATCAAACTTCACCTTACAGGTAAGTCTCGTTTAATTTTCTAATTCTATAAAATGAAGTCTATCAAGCTCTACGAAAATATTTTTTAAATATTCATAAAAGCATAGGTCACAACCAATTAATTGCCAAGATCGTCAAAGAAGCAGCAAAAGAACTTCACTAACTAGGGTATATAATGATAGCATATGCCAAAGTTACTGGCCTATTAAATGAAAGAAATGAAACTGGATCCCAATCCATAAAAAGGACAATCACTTGGAAGTGCAAAACTACAGGCCCATAACCATACTAACAACTATTGATAAGATCTATCAACAGTTACTGAGTACAGAAACATCTTGATCCCAGTATATCAGTCATAACTTGACAACTTATAGAAAACATCATAACTGCGAGACAAGTTTATTAAAACTTATAGAGAACTGGAAATGGACAATTGATAACAACAAATTTATAGGAATCTTGACARCAGACATAAGCAAGGCATTGGATTCGTTACAAACACCCTTATTAATATGCAAGCTCAAAAATATGGAATGCCAGAGGAAGCGCTGGACCTGATGCGATCAGATTTCAGTCAACGCATGTGCAGAGTAAAATTGGGATCCACAATAACCAGTGGGTGACATGAAGTGAATAGAGATATCCACAGGGGTCTACATTTTACCCTTTATTGTGGAATACATTTCAGAATGATTTGACATAACATATTAATGATTCAGAATTAACAGTGTATGATGATGACCATCAGCTATATGCAGTTAAAAACTCCATTAAGAATGTCCAAGAAACACTAAATAAAGAAGCAGAAACTTTCAAGATGGTACCAAGATAATCTATTGTGTGGGAATATCAGGCCATCACCAAATAAACAAAGATAAAGATATTGAACTGACAACTATGGACCAAAAAGTAAAGATCTTAAATGAACTTAATGTGGCCAGGGCATGTCTTGTTTTGATTTGGTTGCCATGCCATGGTTTGCATTATGCATTCTACTCGTTTAAGGTTGTCTTCCACGGAATCAATAAGATTTTAGTATTACATAGCTGTCAATCAATTAGACCAAGTGCTTTGAGTAGTTTCACATCCGAGATTCATATTTCACAATAAGCGTCACTGGATCAGTCGGATTGGTCTTGGTCCTGTTAATAAATAAATTGATCCACGATAAAAAGAACTTGTCTCGGTCACATTAGGAGTTACAATAGATGACAAGCTTAATTCTACCTCGAAATCAGTCTTCGTCACTACGGAATTACATTAGAAGCATGCGAATGCGTTTCAAGTAATTGTATGATCTGCTATCAAGCTGGTCACAAGCAGCGAGTTTCGCTGGGGGGAAAAAATTAACATTTTGAAGAGTATTACATCGGGTTACTTTAGAAAGGAATGACGCAACGGAAAGTGCGCGCGCGCAATGTGTCCTCATAAAGCACAGTCCCTCCAAATCAATCAGAACGCGACATTCATAACAGTTATTCATAATATTTTAATCATTGTTATTAAGAATTAACATTTCAAGTCTTGATGATGGTAGTGTGTTAGAAGAGACTTTTAAAAGAAATAAAGCACAATGGCACAAAACCTGCAGTAACAGCTGTAGCAAGTTGAAATGTGAACGCGCCTTACGCAAACGTAAGGCTGAGGAGAGTGATAAGGCAAACTTGACGGTTAAAACCCGTTCAAGAGTTGGCTCTTTTTCCTCTCAAGATGCAGATGTTGCCAAAACCAGTGTTTGTTTTTTCTGTGGAGAACAAGGAGGGACATTACATCAAGCTGCCCTTTTACGAATAGATAGTATTCAATTGCAAGATGAAAAGTAGCTTACCAATCTCTGGTGATATGGTCGCAAATGATGCAGTTTACCACGCCTCGTGCCTATCAGCGTTGTACAATCGACTTAGAAAGGCACTATAATCAACTAATACTACAACAGCGAATACAACCCTTTCGTGGGAATCTATCGCTTTAGCAGAGCTGGTCACCTATATAAAAGAAAACAAAGAGCAAAGGACATCCTCCTTCAACCTTTCCAAGCTTTACTCAAGTAGACTTAAGGAACTTGGAGCATCCGTTCCAGAGCGCATAAATTCTACACGTCTTAAGAAGCGTCTGCAATCTGCAATTCCTGATTTAAAGTCGTATAACAAGGCAAAGAAATAAGACTAACGTTTGATCAACATATTAGTGCTGCATTACAGCTAGCGGAAAGCCATGATTTTGATACTGATGTAATACAGCTTGCTAAAACAGCTTCAATCATCAGGCATGATATACTAGAGAGTCAACCACAGTTCACTGGGTCCTTTGGTCAAGACTACCAACGCCAGGCCATCTCAGCAAGTTTTCTTGCATTAGCTGACATGATAGTGGAAGACCCAAGTATCAAAAAAGACAAAAAACAACGAGAATGACAAGTGTGCAAGCACTGCAGCTTTAGCAATATCACAACTTCTTATCTTCAACGCTGTCAAGCGCAAAACAGAACAGACAACCATTATTAGACACAGCATCAAAAGAGAAACACCATTACCATTGTAAATAGGACTAGTAATCCATGCCGAAAACAGAAAGAAACAGCTGGTCGATAAGTTTTATAGATTGGGACTTTCGTTCTCTTATGATCGAGTTAAACAGATATCTACACTCTAAAAGTTGGATTTTTTGAATTAATGATGAAGATATTAATTTAAATAATATGATATTTAAAATAAGATATAAAAATTTTATTTCAAAAATCATTTTTTATCAGGTTTTTTGTTTTGAGTAGACAACTTTGATTTTAAAATGGCCTAAATGTTACAACAACAAAAAACAGCCCAAGAAAGACACTAAGTAAAGGCACGATGACAATCATTTTATTTTTAATAACAATTTAAACAAATTTACACTAATAAATAAATTTGCAGCCAAATATAACACTTTACAAGACTACACATCTAACCTTGAGGAATCGATGAATACATTTATACTACATCTCCAGAAGGTTTTTAATACTTCTCTAAACATCCTAATTTATACCTTTCAATAAATCATATCAATTAAAGAACGAGATTTTTAAAATTGATATACGCCATGTTGGCATGACTAACCGAGCCGGACTGGTGTAGAGTTTTGACCATATTTGGATACGGTTTGCCATATTTGAATATCCTTGCTTGCTCTGATTGGCTGATTCAATAGTTCGAGTTTAGGCGGACTTTTTATTCAGTTATTGTAATCGTTCTTTGTGTTAAGCATGGATGGTTCATGGATAATTGTGATTCTAAATAGCCTAAAATCCCCTGAGAAAAATGGGGACCAACAAAGTAATATGTGAAACTTCATAAACGAATTTCCAAGAGATTTCGCTGAGGTAAGCGACCAAAATGTCCTCTGTTACAAACCGATTTTTACATCAATAAAGTGTGGGTATTAAGAATGACAATCTAGGTGGCTATAAAGTCAAAATCCTAGCATTTTCTTAAATCTACTATTCATGGAAAGTTGTATTGAGAATTGGAACCTGTTTCTTTTATATAATGTAACTAATTTACCCTTCGAATTTGTAGGTCTTACCTCCTGAAAACCTAACCTAACTGATGATGAAGTGCTGTATTTATAAATCTAGTTTATAGAAAATTTGGTGTAATTAAGGCTTATTTATAAATTTCTTATAGTTCAAAACTACCTGTATTAGTTCAACTAATTCAGATATCTAAGTAGTTTATTTAATAAGTGTGGTTTCATTAATATGGTCAGATCTTCAATTCATCCAGTTTTTTACACAATGCACTGTAGTCTCGTTCATATTAAAGCTAATCCATACACTTCTCCTTTTTGTTTTAAACTTAATCTTCAGTGTTAGCTCTATCCAAAAAATATAAGTAAAAGATCTATAATAACTTTTTTAATTAAAGGTAAATCATCCCTTTCCCTGCTAGCAGAGCCTATCTTCCTTTTGTTTTGGTTGTGAGAAAAATAGAAAAATCTCCTTCCTCCCCACCTGAAAGAAGAGAGAGAAAGAAAAGAGAGACTCTGCTAGCAGGGAAATCATCCCTGAGAGATCAAGGGATTTGACCAAATTTTTTTTTCATGTTTGTTCTGCTTTATTCAATGCTACTTACCGGTAGTCATTTCTATAGTAAATGTTTTCCAAATTGCTCATGTGAAAGCAAAAAGTCAGTTTTTTCCTAATGTTAAGTATACCTTTACGTCACCCCAATCTTGTGGACATTTCAGCATTTGGTTTAATTAATAYATATATTAATAAACTGTATTTACCTTGAAGTCAGAAAAGTATTGTTAATGAAAATTAATTATTTTGTTATGAGTTGGTTCAATTGAATAATATTTGATGRGGAAAATTGAAATCAAAAGAAAGCTTTAAAACCATAAAAATTGAAATTAAAATAATTTAGAGGAGGGTTAATTCAAAAAACTATTTAAAACAAAGTTTTATTTAATTTGATTATGTAGGTCATTAAATTAATTTGCCTGCATGATTATTTTAATATTAAAATAATGATAATTCGTAGTTCCCAGAGGACGTTGTTTTAAATATATTTTGACATTAATTTAAAAATCCAACTTTTAGAGTGTCCTCCAATGCCAAAAATATCAACATACACTGTAGTTGTAAAATTGTGAATCATATGATTTTAGAAGCAAAATATCTTATTTATTATTGTAATTGAATGATAAACCTCTCTCATTAGAAATCCTTAAAGCAAGACTATGAAGGACCTATGATATCGAATTATTTATTGCGAGAGAAAACAATGGAGTAAAGTATCACCACAAAAAATGGTACCCTACCAATTTAATTATCTAATTGTATTAGCCGCACCTTACTATTACTTCTACTGAGGTATAAAAGTGGTCCATATCATGYTCTTTCTCATGATATGTGCGGAAAAAGGGACCAATTATCGGTTCCCTATA